AATAATGGGAAGAAACGCGTGAAGTGTAAAGTATTATATTACTAAGCGTTGTTGCTGTTTAATGTGTGTTTAACTTGTAATTTCTACGGTTTTCTGTTTACAGGGTCTTCGTTTTCGTAGTACGAAAAGACCGTGGGTCTTCGTTTTCGTAACACCGCCTCTCGCCAACCCCCTCAAATATGTGCTATATGGTCAAAACATTTAAAAGTGACGTGATCATCTATCTTTTCACTTGTAAATACTAACCTAAGCGATGAGCTAGATTGTATTTACAACTTAATAGAAATGGTTGTGCGCTACAATAAATTGTCCAACGAGCCGCACAAAGAAATTTTTTACAATGAAAATCCAAGTCCGAGAAGATCTTCCAACGTGTAAGGAGATATATAGAACTGTGGTCTCCCAGGGTTTCCCGTTCTGAGAATTTTACATTACGTCGAGAAATTGATGAAGGTTTTACTGCTAGAGTTTTGAAATGATTTTCAATAGCCCGTAGTCCTTCTGTAAAAGCAGTAGCTAGAGATTCCCACTCGATCCCATTTTGCTCAATGTCAGTTAAGGCAATAGAACTCAAAAGACTAACAGTTCGATCGAGAACTACAGATTGTGCTTGCAAGTCATTGATATCCGTTTCATTATTATGTATACACTGCTCTGTTCTTTCGAGCACTGACGATAAAAATTCAGGTAAGTATTTTTTCACGTCAAATTCTAGCTCTACGTCCGCCATGATGCTAGTTAAACTTACCGCGCGAAATCATGAAGCCTGAAAGTTCACGTTATCATTTCCGGTCACTAACCCGAAGCAATTTTGAAAAGTGGAGGTTTCATTGAATTGAAATTGAATTTTATTGAACTGAACTTGAATTTTCACTGAATTGAACTTGAATTGAATTGAATTGCAATTGAATTTTAGTATTGAATATTGCTACAGTTGGCTTGCCATAGTAGTTCCCAGTTCTTGTGAGACAGCCATATAATAAGTTCGCGTATTAATTCGGGCACCCGTGTGACGTTCCCAGTCCTCCGCTAACATTTTCAGTCACTCACCCAAAGTCTTGACTACGCTTAAGCGTTAGTTTGCAAGACAAAACAGTGACATTTTCACTGCGACAGAGCCCAGTTTTTAAAGAGGCTCACCAAATCATTACTTTTGGTCAGGGGCCAAGTGTCACGAACAGTGTTTACATGGTGAAAATTAAGTTAATGAACTTGGCTTACACAAGACAATTCGTGACTCACACCGTCTATTCTCAAGTGAGAGAATTCTATTTCTCTTCCCTGTCCTTTTGACTTTGATAGTTTTTATAAATTTCTAAAATGCGGAAATGCCAAAAAAACATAATTTGATAGCAGGAAATACAAAAAGAACCGCAATAATTCGAAAAGCTTGAAAATCGAATCATGTAAACAAAACAACGGAAATTCTTGTTGCAAAAAGTTTCCCGTAAATTAAACCTAGACGAAGAAGCAGATTTCTGAAGAATATGGGCTCTACATAATGCTGAAATAGCTTAGCTGTTGTTCGCCCCAAACGCTGTCCCTGTTATAATCGAAAGGTAATTGATTTTACAACTCCCGCAGAAAGTTTATTTACCGTAGTTTAATTTATTCGTGTTCGCCTGATATAGCAAATGCCTTATTAGGTGTGAATATCTGTCGCTTAAATTGTATATAGTTTCGAGATTTCCAACAAGCACGAAAAAGACAGAGACAGAAAATTATCATATCAAACCCTAAACAAATCCTTAAATTGTAGTATCGAGCGCTGTGAATGGTTACGTGGCGGCATATTATCATTAAATACAGCCTGTTTCCACTGTATTTTTATCCGATAAAGGAGCACGGTCGATGACTTTTACAACGATAATCTTTGTTTGCTTCTAAAGAGCTCCTTCTCTTCGAATCGCTTTATTTCTCCCATTTCAGACATTTCTTATCAAAGAAACAGCTATTGCAAAGTCACGTCCCAACGGTGCATTAAAATAGTTGGAATCGATCAAAGGGGCTGGAGTCTACTTAATTTTCACTTACGATAATTGTTTTGCTTCCACACGCACATATAGAAGATACACTGTCCCATTACTTACTTCTTCATTATGTACATCCAAAGCGGGATATTAATACTACCGACCAAAATATCCGACACAGCCAGTGAAACGACATAGTAGTTGGTAAGAATCCTGAGGCGTTTGTTGGTCGCGAATGCCGCGCAGACAAGAGCATTTCCGAAGATCGCGAGTACAGCAATTACAAAAAAGAATATTAACGATGTCCAAAGCTTTCCGTCTAATGTACAATCAGTCATGGCCCTCGAAAAGTCCGTAGTATGATTCTGCACCTAGATGGTAAAGAATATAGGCAACGTTAATCCGGACAAAATGCACAAGCCTCATCAATAAATCCATTCTTTAACCCTACAAGTTGTCACATTTACTTACTAAAACTCACATCTGGCGCTCGCGAAGAGTTAAAACTCCGAGTTATCTTTCAAGTTTTGCGCCATTAGTTTGTATACTGAGTCAGTTTCGCGAAACGCAAATCAAGTATGGACGAATATCTCGCAGGACTAGTTCATGCATCATCTTATATATCTTCGCAAAAAATCACTCAATGCGCTGTCAAATTTTGATGGGTCTAAAGAAGTGAGAATGTTTACCCTCGTTCAGCGATCAAAGGAGACAATGAATTCAAAGTTTTGAATGGAGGCGGAGAAATGGTTATCCTGGCGAAATGATCACAGGGGGCTGAAATGACAAATAAAGTCAGTTCCCTGGCTCTCGAATAAAATTGATTCGAATCGAGAACAATTAACACTTTGCCTGCACCAGACATAAAACACCTGTATTATGCCGACGTATGTGAATCTACTAGAACAAAATAATAACTGCTTTCATTAATATCTGTTCGCTGTGGCACTATTTGGCAAATGCGGACTTGTTAATTTTCAAGCTCTTCAAACAGGAAATTACATGGGAGCGCGCTTTCAAATCGCAGCAACGGAAGGTCAATTTAATCAACAGATAGAAAGGATCACCTCATATAAACGCTTTTCTCAAGTCAATTGCGACGAAACTACATGACGCTCACTCTTCAGACGCCATCGTAAAACTTAAAGCAATTTTCTACTTAGTTAGAATATCAAATCATCAGCAGGAACTTTTGTATAAAGTATTTTGAATAAATGCTTAAGTATTCAATCTTAGGGTATAACTGTCACTCATAGAAGATTCTGAGAACCTTGCATGGATTGAACTGTAGCAAATTGGACTGTTTTTCGTCCCACTTCATAGAATACTACAGAATTTAAAGTGAAAAAAACCGATCAAATCGGTAAACTTTTAGCTAAAAATCACGTCTACAAATTCAAAGCAAGCGGGTATATTAAACAGACAGAGTTCGCAATACTTTTTGATTCCCACTGTTAGTATTACGAGTACAAGAGTATTAGGAAAAAAGCGTACGAACAGTGCAATTAATTTCCATCGTTGTTTCTACAGTCAACTTTAATCATAGTCGTAAAACAGTGACGTTTAATCTTTTCAACCCCCCTTAATTACGTCACTCGCTAATAGGGTGACCCCAAAAAGTCGGTTCTACTGAAACATATTAAAACATCTGTACACATGTCATTTGTACTTCTAATGCAAAATTTCTGAGACAAAGCGCCCACGCGAAAGCGACCGAGTCATTCTTTAGTTTCTAACTTGCGTAATTTGGACAGCTGAGCAGCGATTTCAATTTTCCGACAATCTCTACGTGCTCAAGAACAATCGCGGAGGCAAACTGTAGACGCTACCGCGCCGTGTATGAATCGTTATTGGTAGTTGAAGGAAAGGAAAACAAAGATATGTCAACTACGATAAATGAGAACAACACAAACTAATTGCAACAGCTTATCTCTCAGTGTTAATTTACATTTCTCTCGGTGCATCCAGATAGGAAATATTTAGACGGTCACGAAACAAGACAAAACCAAAAGCTTTCTTTCAATTGTTGTTTCTTGTGTAGTTTCGATGAAAACGGAAGTTTCAGTTTTTTCACCACTTGTCATTGCTTTTTTGTGTGCTGACTGATAAACCCTAAATAAATCAAAACTGCGAAAGAAGAAACTACACGAGAAATGTAAGCCTCCTTCAAGTTAGGTAATCCGCAAACTTTCGTTTTGCTCAGAGATGTTTCAGCTGAGAAAACGTGATTTTTTAAAAACGTGAAAAGATCATAAGTCATTTTAGTGACTGCGTTCGTGCATACTCCCGCCCACAGTCAAACAAACCACTTCATCGAGTTTTTAAATGCGTGAAGTCTAAGGCCGTCGCTTCTGAGACACATACGAGTGGCAGCAACTTAAAATTTTCAGTAATCGCTCCGTCTATTATCAGCAGTCTCCCCGAAAAGTCCGTCGCACGACTCAACAGAAATCAAAATACCGTGAGCTTTATCATAGGAGTGCGGTTTTCATTTTTCACTGACGAATTTCGCTTGATTCGCACGACGAAATACGCCGAGAAAAGAAATTGACTGTACTCTAAGGGCCACTTTATAGACCATTGACTATTTTCAATTGCATTTGTCTTTGAATTATCTCTAAATTTCGAACGCCATTTTGAAAGTAATCTTTCACCCAAAGCTAACAAACTACTCAAAAAGAATGAAGTGTGCTAATCGTCCCACACTGTTGAAATTCATCATGAACACAAAAGCGCATGCTGAGTGAAAACCGTTATTTGCAAGACAGTTTTCGCCTAAGGCTATATCTTGCCGAAATGAATACCCATTGAAATTGAACTTAAGCTTATAGTTTCTGTTATTACACTTTCAAGGAATAAACATGGGAACAAACATTCAATTCAAAATAAAAACACTGCTCTTGTATAATGTTGTGGTCACGAAAGTCGAGAAGACGACATTTGAAACAGTGTGTGCTACTCATTCTTGGCCCAACTTTTTTAGGTTGCAGTGACGACCATACTTCAAAACTAAGTATTAAGCACATTGGAATGCCTTTTCATTAATGATAACTCCTTCGCTTAAAGGACGCATGCACCAGTCACCTGTGTTCGATGTGATCCTCAACAAATATGTTCTGTCTTTATTTTATGTTAAAAGATTGGCAAGTGGGTTTTGTGATTGCGAAAAGTCTTTTTTCCGTTCGTTTATTCTATTCTGTTCTGTTTAATGGTCTTCTTGATGAGCGATTCATCCTTGGCAGTTTTCGGAAATAAAATGTTCAAGCAGCAGCTTATGAGAACCTGGCATACGTATCAACTATTTAACGAGCACTTCAGATCGGTTTGGAAAACGAGGTAAAAATATTGCAGAAAAGATAGAAAGATTCGGAGCAAGGGGTGGGGAGGGAGGGAGGGGAGGGGGGATGAACTTACCCACACTCCCTTTCGACACTTTACTAAAGTAACAACTCCTCTTGATATGGAATTTCGGAGATTTTTTTTCATCTATAGAGAGTGCAATTTCTCTGTTCACAAAAAAAAGAGGCATACAAAGAAAGATTCATCCTATTAACTGTGTTATAGGGTAAAGCTTTTCCTTGATCATCACTGTTACAACTCGAAAACCTGCCCTCTCAAGAGTGCTTTTATAAAATGGCGCATGTTTTCCTAGATTTCTTTTTAACATTTCTCAGAGAACAGGCAAGGCACTCAGTTGGGCAATTTCCCAATAAACGTATCAGTTTAGCAGGCATATGCAAGCAAATGCTAAAGTAATACTTACATGAACCCACCGAATCCAAACAAGACGTATTCTCAAGGTGAATTATATCATTGAGTAAGATTTCCACCTGCCTGCAAGGTTGTGCTGTGGTATTTAACGACTTTCGTTGGAAAAGGTCGTGAACTGATGAACTCGGTAACGATAAACAGTCTACCGTAACTATAGAATTTGACTTCGAGACGCCGCCTCTCGGAAAGTTGAGAAATCAAGTATAATCTTATGTTGCATCTACAATGAATGCTGTAGACGTTTGTTTGAAGAAATATATTATTTAATTCAGTCAGATTAAAACGATTTAGTGATGCCACTCAGTCTACATGTTTCGACAAGTTTAATTGTTTGTTTTCTTAAATCTAATCCGATTGGATCGAAGACATCTTAAGGGAAATGAGAGAGAGATAAACTTTTATTTATAAGCAAAACAAGGGAAAAGCGATTCGTATTGATGGCTACGCGGTTCCTGAAGGCGAACAATGTTTACTCAATTCACCAGAAGGAATTTAAGGAATAAACTTCGACTCTTCTTTAACTTCAGGTGCGGAAATAATATATACGACGTTAAATACCTCGAAGGCAATGAATTTTCAAGTTTTATCGAAACTTTTCAGCATAAAAAGAAATTCGATTTGTCAGTGATTGTTGTTCCATTATCCGATATTTTCTTCCGGTTTCGGATAATTGTTTCTGATAAATGAATGAGTATTCATTCCAAGATTTATGCATAATATATCATGACACAGCATTACACAAACGAAAATTTGATTTGAATTTATGAAGGTAATTTCTAAACCTGCTTTTCATTTTGGGGCGCTGCAAGAATAAAGACATTTCAACTCATAACAAAGTGTGTCCATTTAACCGGCCAGTAAGGAGATTTTCATCATCTTAATAGCTATTGGGCTAGGGTTAGGGATTTAGGGTTAGGCTTTAAGTTATTTAGTGCTATCTGTTCCCATCGGCGATTTCTCATTCAATCATTTATGTATCCATTTGTTCATTCATTTCTTCGTTTTCAAGCTGGGATGATAAAAGCAAATGAAAAGGTGAAAAAGTAGAAGTTTACGGAAACTTATTTTAAAACAGTTACAGCTCTTGTTATTAGACACTGTTGGGAGGCTTGGAACAGGGATCGAAGAACGGCCTCAAGGATGTTTATATCCTGGGACTGAATGGATGAGACTGCAACCAGTTTCTCTTCATAAGGTCAGCGGTATAGCGTCTTTTTCGCTCGCAACTAAGTGTGCGAGGCCTTGAGCAAAGCGAGCCGGCGAAAAACCACTTACAGACCTCTCACCAATTCGATTTTCTCGACGCCTCAAACTTAGTTATGGGCAAAGAAACCTTCCTACTGCCTTGCAAATGACGATAGCCTGCTCAAAGGTTCGATATGAACAGGAGAACATGATTTCCGCAAACGTAGACTCATTGCTTAGAATATATTTTCTTGTTATGGAGCAGTGAGGCGGTCTCGCCCTATTTTTCATTTTGGTCCGGCCTTTTCTGAATGTTTGGCCGGTACTTGCCCCTGTCAGATTGTATTTTGATTTTGGAGACAGCTAAAAATTTTCATGTTTGGAATTTTGGGGGAGCTTCAGGAAGCTTTGTAGAAACGGAAGAACAGACTTAATCGTATAATAAAGCCTATAAAATTTTAAGTCAATGATGATAAAACAAACTGATCATATGATTTGTGGTTGATATTAATTTCCTGTTCTTTTGTTTTGTTTGTTTGTTTTTTTTTTTTTGTATTTTTCTTTTTTTGGTGATACTCCAAGGAATTTAGTCTATGGCTTCGTAGGTTTCCCTTCCTTCCTAAACTGATACCACTGATACCACTAGTTTCCAATTAAATTCGTCCGGCTACTTAACCCTGCTACAACCTGGTATTAGTATGCATATTCTCACTGTTGTTATTTATACATTTGCAAGGGTACTGACAAGGAGAGTTTGTTGAAACCCCAGCGACTGCGATAGTCTACCCAGGCAAACAAAAGGCCCTGACCAGCGCGACTGATAATGAAAGCGTGCCTGAGCGGTTTAAAAAGTTTTACACTAGCTGTAGAACTTCCCCAGCTCGAACTTCCTGTCAGCTTTATCTTATAGCAGTTTCCCTCGAAACACATTTTCATATTTATTTATCATCGCCTAGATTTAACCCCACCGTAATTCGAAGCATATTTCGTTTCCTTAGACTGAAGGTGAACACCACGAAATATAAAGAATGAATCCATTCATCGATGGAAATAACGCTTTGCTATTCGCGTTTAGAACCGCGTGTAGTTCAAACTATGTTAAAAATCTTATGGTTAAATTTTTAGTCAAAGTTTTATGTTTTAAAAATCTGCCTATCTCCTTACGGAAACACGTCACTGGAGGCGTTTTCTTTCTAGCCCGGCTGTCCCGAAGAAATGGCAACTACATGACTTGGCCTTAGAACGGCCCGAATGAATATCTTAAAGCGTAGTAACAGGTTAGTTTAGAGAGATAAGCAGTGCTGGCCGAGTAAAATTACAAAATCAAACTTTATTCTTTGAAATTAACCTGAACACGGGAAGTTAAAAATGTTTAATAATGCTGAGACGTCTGCTAATTTTCTTAACATTATGGTAAACGTTCGGTTTCATCTATTCATCGCATGTATCCGAAATAACAGTTAACCCTTTACATCCATGAGTGATGAAGACAGAACTTCTCTTTACAGAATCAATACGATATCAAGCAGCCACGCGATGAGAATGAAGAAAAATATGAATTGAGGGATAATTAGTCGATCCAATACCAAATTCTCCAAAGTTACATAAGAATTGTACATGGCAGACAGTATGGAGAATTACCAAGGGTTAATGGGGATCACTGTGTATCATGTCCATCATGGGTTGGTTTATTTATCCGCAGAAATATCTTTGTATATTTGTGAGGTCTGTCTCATTTATGCCATTTCATATTTTACGTACACTCAGAACATCTTTCAGTTTCCGGTTCCTAAAGCACAATTTTTCTTATTTTCTCAAAATGATCTACGGTCCTCTTTCCAATTTGATTTCTTTTTCTTTGTAAATGTGCTCCAGCTAAATTAGTAGGGCAATCCATTTAATCATTTTTCAATTTATCCTATTATCTTAATTAACCACCTCAAACCGCCCCTGGCAAGTTTACATTTTCTTCAAATTACTACACGAATTTTGAGTTAACCTGACGCACTATTATGAAACAAATTTTACAGCGTTTTTACCCATTACCTGATTACATATAATTGTAAATCGAAGTTGGACTTATGAATAAATCAAGTCTTCGCATGTTTTTATTTCTCTCTGGCTAAAAACATTTTGGAAAAAAAACCAAAATCAGAGACGCGAAGTGGTCTATAATGTTTCGTAGAAAACTTCATGTGCTCAGTAGCAAAATACATATGGATTCGCTATTTCTTAACATAATAATGTTACGGTTTCTGAGCTACCATTTATGAATAAATCAGTTTTTTTTTTGGCAACTCTATGAAATATTTTTAAATCCCCTCACCTGAAAATGACTCTATCTCACCGACTGCAGTACTGGCGCGCGCAAACGTAGCGTTTTCAGAGGACGATCGGTTTATCGAGAAGAAAACAAAGAAGCTGGTCTGAGCTACAGTCGAAGCGGAAATACCTTTCATTACAAAATGCTTTGATGGTTGAAGGTTAATTAGTGTTATCGTCAAACTAGGCATGTTCTGCTTGGATTAGAAGATTGAAAGTGCAAATTGTTCAATCACATAGAAATAATGATATCGTCAATTGAAAAGGTCTTTTTTTCTTGGCAAAATTTTTATTTAAAATTAATGCACTTTGTAAACCGTCTGTTTTGTTTCAAGGATGTAACTGAATGACAGACACTAATTCATTTAGCCACACGGCTAAATAAATGGCAAAATGTTAACTGAAATTACCTAAGCCAATTCTTATTTAAGTCAAAACCCTGTCTTGAAAAGGATTGATAAAAAGAGTCGGAAATCTGCTTATTAAGAACAACGGCTAAAAGCAAATTTCCATTTTTATCTTGTCGACACTTACGTTTCAATAATTCAATATTTGACTACTAATACAAACTTTGAATAAAAACACACTAAGTCATTTAAATGTGAATACAAGTTTCAAGAGTGAATGGAATCATGACCGTTCCGAAATTTCTACTTTTGTTCATAAAACAAAATAAGTGGTACAGAAATCGTTCAACAAAAAAGAAAGGTTTTTTTCAAGCTAGTGTAAACAGCTTTAATACGGTAATTATTTTGTGATCTCGTGTTTGGCTGCTATTAAAAAATAAACAGGAAAAAGGTATTACGAAAAGATTTGCAGGGGTTCCATATCTAGTGGGAAAGGAAATTGCGTGCATGGGCACGCGGTTCGGAATGGGAACGAGTTACCAATTTCCCATTTCCATTGTTACAGCGGCTTGTTTAGGAGCGACTCACTGATCATGAGACGGCAAGGATTTGGAATACACCGGAAACCAGGAAGTCACAATAATCATCACGCTTTTTATAAGTGGGGTATAACCCGTCGGTCGCCTTGCCTGACGTAGACTGGCAGAATGCAGTTAAACTTCGAGATCTACATCCTAAGTGATCGCACAATTATAATCCTTTGTTCTCTTTCACCACGGTGAACAACCCAAACCTTTCCTATACGTCATTACTCAAGTCTTACCTTGATCTGCATGAGATAATAGCATGATCTTGTATCATTCACCGAGCTCATCAGACGTTAAAAAGTGCTCAGAGTGACCGGTTCTTTTTAGAATAAACCATTGCTATTCTGCATTGATGGCCAGCCTAGAACTCCCACATGTGACCAAGAAAGAATTTCTCCTTAAGGTATCAATACAATATCAAGCTGACAGGTGAAGAGAATTAATAAAAATGTGAACTAGGGGATTATAAGTTGATCCAATACCGAATTCTCCGAAGTGACTGTAAGAATTGTAGGGCAGACTACGGAGAATTACTAATGACATCTTGGGAGTGAAAGGTTTAAGCGCCACATTCGCCATTTTTCATCTTAGTGAAACTGAAAAGATTCTTTTATCCAGAAATCGTGACACCCCGCGTACTGATTAGACGAAAAAGTCGATCCTTCTAGTCACACTTCGTTGACCAGTTCAAGCTAACTGTTATATTTTACTCTCACCATGAGTTTCGCAATTCCTTGTATCGAGCTACACTTATGGTCTACGTCCGATTTGGGTTTCAGTGTGACATTAGTGCTGTTCTCACATTAGATGTGCACCCTTGCTCTATTTGGTTAACTTCAGTTGGTAATAAACTGCTGCATGTATCACGAATTACTCTTTTGCACTTTCCTAATGTCTGATAGAGGATTACATGAATTTCATTTCATTAAAATTCACCTACCTTTTCCTTAGCACTGCGTTGAGAAGTTGATCTGTCGAACTTTTAGCGGAAAGCTTTTGAGATTGCTAAAATTCGAGTTTGTTTCTAAAACACCAGTAAAATTGCGGACTGCTGTTGTCTTCAGCCTCTGAACTTCTTATGCATAAATTTCTGCCGATTTTAGCAAGCTTTATCTACAACCAGATGGATCTTGTGTAATCTTTGCAGGCATAGACAGTCTTGCTAAGAGTTTTGAATTACTTTTGAAAATAATTCAAGCCCATGGCGGAAGTCTCAGCCGTTTGTTGAAACAGTGAAATACAACCTTCCTCAATTAAGCGTTTGGTTTGCAACGTGGGTGGATAAACAGGTTCTCTGCAGCATTTTTTTTTTGCCTTTTGTGCGAAACAACTCACTTTTCATAGCTACCTGTGGGTTAATGTACCGTAGAAAGACAACTATTCGCTGATTTGTGGACTGGTTGTTTAGGTAGTTGGCTCTAGGAAAAACTCCCTGTGTGATTTCTTTGGCTTTAAAATTGTTGAAATACTGTTTCCTTATGAAGAAATGTTTACGTTTATTTGCAAAGAAGTGACAATTACAGACACAATGTCAAACTGTAGGGGAAATAATTAAAATTCACGTCGAATTGTTTTGATATTTCTTGCCAGAATCGAAGACAGTGATTGCTTTTAGAGCTACGACGGACCTATTTCGCAATAACAAATATATTGTTCATTTAGTGCGACCTCTTACTGTGCCTTACTATGAGTGCAGGTAACCATAAAGCGAATTTAAAAGAAACACTTTTTTAACACCTGTGGTATAAAAGCCTTTAGTAAAATAATAAAAATTATTGAAAACAACCTATTCTACTATCTCTGAAATTCTCTTTTGCCATCTACGGTGAGGATATGCTTCTTAGTTGGTAAAGTTGTTGAGGATGTTTTGCTCACAATCTACTGGTAAAAAGCAAAAAAGACTCGAATCCAACGAGGCGGCTGGTCATATTTTGTAATTTAGTTTTGGAGCAAACAGAAAAGAAAACCGAACTATTTTTTTTTAACAATATTAAATTACTTAGCACTTAATCTTAGTCCTTGTGGCGCTTGGGCCATAAAATGGTCATAAAACAGACATTTAGTATCGCAGCTGCAAAAACAAACAAATCGCTGAAAACGTCCGAGTTCTATGATGACTGAGAAACAAAACCAGTATTGGTCACCTGACTTATCATTGACTTCCTATTGTAACCTGTCTACAGTTTTGTGAATGCCAATAATGCTCAATGAGTTCTTTCATTCACCCCAGCACGGCTCGATGGTATTCAAAAAGAGAAAAGAAAAGAAAAGGTGAAGTAGAACTTGGGCGCTCAAAAATGCATATCATAATCACTAAGCAGAAATTTTCTGATTTAGTGAGAACTTTCAATCAGCTTGCGGCTAAATACATGTGGAGTTGACTGTCATACTATATTTTGTCGTTTTCTCTAAAACACGAAGACCAGTCTCAAAAAAGTCAAGAATAATGCAACTTTACAAGGGAGGGATCAAAATTTCCTGAAAAGTGTCTTAAATCAGGAGGACTCAGCAACAAATGAAATGCACTTTTTCCGTCAAGGGAAACACCAGATATCGAATCGAGCATTCGAACGATCCGGCCAATAGGGAGGTTCCCTTGTATTAATCCGCGATTAGCTCTTCGCTATTTGCAAGCTAGCCTAGTAAATTTTTTACTTGAAGCGTGATTGGCCAATCTTTTTCTCGTGAGTCGTGATTTCATTTTCTCTTTATTCGTGAATCGTGGTTGAAAATAAGATCTTTTCATGTCCACGTGAACGATTTTTTTTTAATCTAAACGTGACCCGTGAATGAAGAGCTAAATTAAACGTGATTCGTGAACCATCTTAGTTTGCGTGATGAATCGCCAGCTTTTTAATTCCTTTGAAAATGTACGTATTGTTCTCGAGCGGCTGTGCTCAGGTTTTGACAACAGTTTTGACAGGATATGGACTTCCTATGGATCGATAAAAGTCATAAAAAAGACCACTAATGGTCCTTGAACAAATAAAATAAGTCATTACTTCATCTTTTGTCACTCAAGACTAGTCAAGACTGGAAAAACGTAAAAATATTAATTCGTGAATGTGACTTTATTTTTTCTGTGAAACGTGATCGTCTTAAATTTTGTGTGAACGCGAACGAAATATTAATATTGTTCATGATGCATGAAAGGGCTAAATATTTTTATGTGACCGAGTTATAGGGGGACCCTCTATAGGATCTAACACAACATTTTCACCTCCAGTCAACTTAACACTGAGTCTCAGGTAAGAGATGCATAACATACGTACCAGTCCTGTTCAATACCGCGAGCTCGTCAATCGAGGTAAAGTGATGTTCTTTTTTTTTTTTAAATTGAAACACAGCAGATGATCATGGAGATGATCAAAGAGCACCAGCTCAGCATTTTGGACGGGACCTGTATCTCACCATCGAGGAGCTGAATCATAGAACATAAGAGCAACGCTGTTTTGAACTGAATAACTGTGAAACAACTCGAAAGGAAGGGAAAATTCTAACACCTTTCCAAAGCAATATTCTGCAGGTGATGAGAATAAAATTTCATGCCAGACAACAGAGATCAACAGACACTCTTATTATCATGATCATTTCAAACCTCAAGAAGCAGATGTTTAACTGTTTTTTTCTTAGTTCCCTTCAACCATCCTCCCTCCCTCGTTCCTCTCCTAAAAAACTATGTAATCCTCCCAAATCGTTCGAACCCTCACCCCTCCCCCCCCTCCCCCCGAGGCGCTAATTCATGACTGGCTCTTTATTTTTCCTCGGAAAGTCTCAATATTTCGTTGTTTGCAAGTTTTTCCGCGATTGCTTTCCTTGTTCAAAAAAATTTTCACGTTCGTAATGTCACATCTTCCATCCAATCTTACTACCGAGATGTATTTCCGAGGATATTTTCCAATGGACATGTTTATTTGATAGACGCTATTTAGGTGTCCTTTATTTGCCCACCTTGTTACGTGCATTCCTTCCAATCGCTCGTATCCCTGGTCAGCGGCAAACCACCCGGAAATTCCAAGGGCTCTCGCAGCGTGAGGGAGGGAGGACCTCTAAACTTGTTATGGCTGATTGGAAGGATTGGTGATAATGTTTTGATCCATTCTATTTACTAAAACCTCGGGAATTCATAGGTTCACGTAGAAATGACTGTCTGGAGAGCACTCGAGACTCCGCAGCTCGGAGTAGGTAGGTAAAATGGACCAGTTTCGTAATGAACGATCGTGATTTCCTTATCCTTAAGTAATGCGTCCTATATACTTACTATTAATTGTAAACTTAAGGTAGACATGGATGTCCCCTACAAACCATAGCTTTTATTTTGGTTAATTTGCAGCAATCTATAATTTCCATGGAAAAGGAATGTATCAGCTCAAGCTTCAGCTTGGCGAGACTGTTCAGATCTTAGAGGAAAGTCCAGGTGAAGGTTTTGGTTTCTGATGATGTTACTGTGTATGTTAATATGTTATCGAAAGTATAAGTACAGTGAAATAAAGATCACGGGAATTTCGTTACTTGTATTTCTTAGGTGCTTCTCCTACATTTAATTCTTCATTTGTTAATGAAGAACATGGTTCAGGATTTTACAGAAAAACAAAAGTGCTCAACACTACACTTAGATCTCTAACAGACCATTACAAATACTTCATTTTTCTACTTCTTCAGTGGGGAGGGGGTGGGGGGAGGTTATTGAGGGTGAAGTGTATTCAGGGTTGGGTGGGCTAATTTAAAGAATTTATTAGAGATACAGTCAGCAGTGAACATACATTTGAAGCAAAGAAATATATAACATTTCCTTTTTCAAATAGTTGAAAGCATTTG